TGTAACTTTGGCTATGTATATTTTCACCAAAAGAAAGGTCTTCCAAGGTCGAGAAGGGAGAGTGTTGACATGTCATGGGGTTGTTAGCCAATGTCATAAAACAATATGTGTACTGACTGTTTAATGAGAAACTATTTGTTCTGTAAACCTTTATCTAAAGTACAAAAAAAAAAAAAAAGAAAGAGCAACATTTGCCCAAAAGTAAAGATGAGAAGGCAGGTAGGGGCAGAAAATCCGGGTGAAAGGATAAGGGGAACCCAGGGTGGCAACAGGGAGACTGCTGACACATTGTAGGGAATGCAACCTATGTCGTGGAACACTTTATGTACAAAATATTCATTGGGAAATTAATTTGCTCTGTAAACTTTCACCTAAAGCACAATAAATTAAAAAAAAAAGAAACTTGTCACAAATGTCAGTACCAAAGAATAGTACTAAATATTTTTTAAAAAGTAATATTTAATATCTATTATATCTACATTTAGTGGACTCCTTTGAGAAAAATTTGATGAACCTGAATATACTGAGAAACAATCTTATCTTCAATTTCAGTTAAATACTAAAGATCTTAACGGTTGCTAAAATATTACTACTACTACAGATACTGAAAATGTTCAACTTCATTAATAACAAAATTAAATTAAAAATTGATGAAGTATTTTATACCTCACTGAGCTAGGGAAAAACATTACATGACATCCAGTGATTAGATTATAGTAAAATTACTGTATGTTAGTGATTCTAGGATACAGTTTTTCATACTTTAACATATCTGAAATTAAGAAGCATCTCTTAATCAAAAGCATCTTGTGATTGCTGTTGCTCAGGCATTTTTAAGAAATGCTTCATCACCAACATTCCTGATGTAAGTGTGGAAAACTAGTCAACAACTTTTAGGTCAAAAGTGATTTAGAAGAATTGGACACTGAATATGGAGTTTTAGGCATATCTTAACCATTTTAATTGGCTTATTTTTTTCTTTTAATACACATTCAGGAATGATATGATAAAAACCTACGTCTACATAAATATAAAAGATCTCCTCTAATACATACGAAAT